ATACTCACCGTAACTGCAGTGGGTCCATTGTTCATTGCTTAAATGAACTTTAAAATACAAAGATTAAAATTTTTCAACCTGTGTGTTTTGTCGACCTTATTATGTCGTATTATTACAGTTACTTGAAGGAGATAAAAATATATATTTGTTAGATAAAGCTTGGAAATTAACTTCAGATGACCCTTCTTGACTAGAAGATGATTATTATCATTAAAATGACATGATTGTACTAATAATTATAGTATTCTCAAAGTAACTGGGCGTTTTTTCTCAACAGAACATATAAATCTATAATATCAGTTGACAATAAAATTACTTGTTCTTAATATCAATTTTTAAATAAAGGGTCAGTAATAGTCATACAACTTACTTTATGGAAAAATTTTAGTCTACATTCAACCTACATTAACGACACATTTAAATCTACATTCAACCTACATTAAGGACAAATCTTAGTCTACCTTCAACCTACATTAAGGACAATCTAAATCTATGTTCAACCTAAATTAAAGGGAAATTTAAGACTACATTCAACCTACATTAAGGTCAAATTTAAGTCTACATTCAATCTATTCTTTGGATAAATCTAAGTCTACCTTCAACCTACATCAAGGATAATTCTAAGTCTACATTCAACCTACATTAAGGACAAATTTAAGTTTACATTCAACTACTTTAAGGTCAATTTTTTCAAGCTACGCTAAGGACAGATTTAAGTCTACAACCATCCTGGACATATAGGCTAACAGGCTGTTCCAACCAAACCTAATCAATTTTGTTTTAATTTAATGCGTTATGAATTAAGGTTGTAAAATCTGTAATAATTCATAAAAAATCACTATAACTAAGCATGGTAATTTCACAACTAATGTTATACAATAAATGATCAAAAATTGATAGACACTTCTCTAAAAGACTTAATACTGATAATGTCTAATCAGACATATGGACGCAAACCCACCCTTTGACCAACACTGAATAGGAAATTAAAAAAAAATGTCAGATCTGTCTGACATAGACAGTGACGTAATTATATTCCCATATTACAAATTAGCTGATACATTGAAACATTGAAAAGTTAAAATTTAAAGTGAATAGCTGATACACACGTAGTCATTTAAATTTGGCAATCCTTGATTGTAGAGCTCCATTTTAGATGCCTTAAATACTTCTTAGACCAAAAATCTGACATCTGGTTCATCTACAATTTAAGAAAAGTATCTGGGAGGATATGAAAATCTAAATATCCAGTTGTCATGCCATTAACGTCTGCAATTATTACTCAAGATATGTGATTATGAGATAATGTTTTGATAAAAATACAATATAACAATTTACAAATGTTTTTTGAGGAATTTTCCAATTTCTGCCCTTAAGTTTTAATGAAAATTCGACAAAAATAAAATGAATAGACCTGGAATAAGAACTGTTTTTACTTCTATCACCGTTAATGGGTCAATGTTAACTTGATATCAGGTTTTAAAAAAACATAATGCATAAAACCTTTTAAATATCATCAGGTTGTGCTTTCAATGCATGATAGAAATTGGTCAAAAAAAATTGCTCTTAAATAAATATATACTTTAGTTTATACCAAAAGATAAAAGCTTTTCCTAAATGACCAACTTTAAACTGAGACCTTTTAAAGATCAATCACAATCTTTTACTGGTAATTTGATTTGAAGACTTTTTATGACAACATCACTAGATAGAGCGCCATTTTCTAGAAAAACATGTGGTACTTTCCAAACCATTTATTAGATTATGGTTGAGTGATGGAAGAAAGAACTGCTAAAGGCAGGAAAGTGGAAGAGATTTTAAAGAATTAAGATATTAACTTTGATTCAATGGCATCACTTCCAAGCTTAAGGTGTTTACAATTCAATCTAAGGGTCAAGTAAATTGGTTGGAATTATTCAAGTCACACACAGTTTCTCTGACATTTTGCCATGTTAATGTAAAGAAATGGGAGTTTTTCTGTCCTTACAGTTACAAAACACTATGATGGAAAATTCATATCTTGACCTATATTGGTCAAAATGGGAGCTACTTATCTTAAAACCATATGACAACTTGCTACCAGAGAATACACTTATATACTAGTGGAAAAAATTCCAACTGTTACCTTTCACCAATCTAAATTCAATATTTTAAAACTACATGACTGCCAATAATGATTCTCTGACTAACACAATTCACAGTTCTAGAATCTAGAATCACAAATAATAAATTACATTGTTACTGGTCCAAATAGATCCCAAACTTTAATTAAAATCTTAATTGATCATTAAAATTATCTATAAGCCATCTTATAACATTAATAACAAGAATATTAATAAAGGTTTGTAAAATAGTTTTGTTGAATGACAGATCAATCATATACCTTGTTTGATATATCATGGCATATATCTAAATTTCCTAAAACAGTAATTTTTTTAGTTTCATTCTGAGGTCAATTTAAAGTAAACTTTATAGAAAATAATTCAAATAATTTTCCAAAAGTCACAAGATTTATCAGTCTATTTAACATTAGACCAA